CACCAAAAAAAGAGAAAATTATAGGGGCACTTGGGTGGCTCAGTCAGTTAAGTGCCTGACTGAGGCTCAGGTCATGATCTCGTGGTTTCTGGGTTCGAGCCCCACGTAAGGCTCTGTGCTGACAGCTTGGAGCCTGAAGCCTGCTTCAGATTCTGTCTCTCCCTCTCTCTATGCCCCTCCTCTGCTCACGCTCTTCCTGTCTCTCTCTCTCTCTCTCTCTCTCTCTCAAGAATAAATAAGCATTAAAACAATTCTTAATAAAAGAAATTATAGGCCAATATCCCTGATGAGCATAGATGCAAAAATCATTGACAAAATATTAGCAAACCAAATTTAACAAGACATTAAAAGGATCATACACCATGGTCAAGTGACAGTTATGCTAGGGATGCAAGGATAGTTCAACAGCTGCAAATCAATAAGTGTGAGACATCATGTTAACACTCAACAAGGCAGGTATAGAGGGAGTGTACCTCAACATAATAAAGGTTACCTATGACAAACCCACAGCTAACATCATATACTCAATGATGAAAAGATGAAAGCTTTGGGGCGCTTAGGTGGCTCAGTCAGTTGAGCGTCTGGCTTCAGCTCAGGTCATGATCTCGTGGTTCGTGAGTTCGAGCCCTGCATCTGGCTCTGTGCTGATAGCTTGGAGCCTGGAGCCTGCTTCGGATTCTGTGTCTCCCTCTCTCTCTGCTCCTCCCCCGCTCATGCTCTGTCTCTCTTGCTTTCAAAAATAAATAAACACTTAAAAAGTTTTTTTAAAAAATGAAAGCTTTTCCTCTAGGATCAGGAACAGACAAGGATGTCTACTCTCAACACCTGTATTCAACCCAGCACTGGAAGCCCTAAACAGAGCAATTAGGCAAGAAAGAGAAATAAAAGTCATCCAAATTGGAAAGGAAGAGGTAAAACTGTCACTATATACATGACATTATATATAGAAAACCCTAAATACTCCATCAAAAAACTGTTAGAATAAATGAATCCAGTAAAGTTGCAGAATACAGTCAATACACTAAGACATGTTGCATTTCTACACACTAACAATGAACTATCAGAAAGAGAAATTATGAAAAAGAGCTCATTTATAAGTGCATCCAAAAAAATAAAATACCTAGGAATAAACTTGACCAATGAGGTGAAAAACCTGTATACTGAAAACTACCAGATACTAGGAAGTTGAAGAAGACATTAAAAAAATGGGAAGATATTCCATGCTTATGGATTGGAAGAATTAATATTTGTTAAATCTCCATACTACTCAAAGCAATCTACAGATTCAATGCAATCCTTATCAAAATTCTAAAGGCACTCTTCCCAGAAATAGAACAATGAATCCTAAAATTTGTATGGAACAATAAAAGACCCCAAATAGCCAAAGCAATCTTGAGAAAGAAGAACCTCAATTTTATTCCTCACTCTACAGTTATCTAAATCTGGAAATCTTGGACAAATGGTTTAACTTTTTTGATTCTCTATTCTATCACTGTATTTTATTTATTTATTTATTTATTTTTTTAAATTTTTTTTTTCAACGTTTATTTATTTTGGGGACAGAGAGAGACAGAGCATGAACGGGGGAGGGGCAGAGAGAGAGGGAGACACAGAATCGGAAACAGGCTCCAGGCTCTGAGCCATCAGCCCAGAGCCTGACGCGGGGCTCGAACTCACGGACCGCGAGATCGTGACCTGGCTGAAGTCCGACACTTAACCGACTGCGCCACCCAGGCGCCCCTATTCTATCACTTTTAATATGAGAATAATATTCAGCTTTTAACTTACCACAAAGATTAGACAAGAGAAAAAATGTAAAGCCCCTAGCATAGTGCTTGACCAATAGCATATACCAAATAATGATAGCTAT